TATAGCAAAGTTACAAAGTACCAATTTCATAAAAAACATATTAAGCCCTTAACAATTTAATAAGTACCTGAGTTTATTACAGTACTTTTGACTGTGATTGTAACTGGGATGAAGCACTAGTTTTTAACAAGTTGTTTATCGTACTAACAAATCAAATCCGTAACAATTTCTCATTAATCATTTTCCAAACACATCATATATATATATATATATATATATATATATATATAGAGAGAGAGAGAGAGAGACAGAGACAGAGCTAGGTTCATGTATTTAAACTAATTATTGTGTTATTGTATGAATAAATGTAGGCCAATCATTTCATAAAGATAAATATGTAATCTTACATTTAATTAATTGTGGTAAATATATAAATCAATTAATATCCATTTTATTTCGGAATATCAGTTTTAAAACCCAATTTCTAGTCCGCCTTTTCCCTCCTCTTTTATATTCATCGACTCCGTCAGATTCAAGGAGGCATCGTAACCCTCGGATCACGTTCCCGTGGCATTGTGCCAGTCGCCACCTGCCTCACAGTCAAAGGAGTCGAAGGTTTCCTCAACAAGCAGTTCGCTATCGAGCTATCTACCCGATCCGATTCTGAAAAGGAGAAGGAGAATTGGATCAATTCAATTGGAGGCTCAATTGTTCAGCACTCAAGGTCTGTTACTGATAACGAGATCTTTGATTATGATAGCAAAAAATTATTTTATTAAAAAAAATTATGATATTTACATGTAAAATTAGGTATGATGCCATTTCATCCTTTATGTTTATGCTTCCTATTTTTTAGTATGAATCAAATTGTTATCTCCAGTTAAGTGTCTCGATCAGCAGCAGTGAAGAAGAAGGGGGTGATCGACGAGCAGATCATTGTCGCATTCTGATGGTGATCCAAAGATCGTCGATGCTGATGAGGAATCAAAATCAATTGCGGTTTTAGGGGTTTCCCCCTAAAAAATACCAAAATCAATTTCGGTTTTAGGGTTTCTCTTGATCATCTGCAAATTGTAAGTGATTCTGTGCTCTATGGCTTTCACTGTATTTTACTTATCTGCCCGATTCCGGTATTGATCATTATGTTCACGGTGCTTTTCTTGTGTCGATTTCTGATCATCGACATGTGTATATTTGTTGTTGAATTTTTGAACTATTTTTTTTAAGTCGATGAATTGTTGCTTCATAATGGTCATCTATTGTTGTTGGACATAATCGATGATTATGATTTGACTTTATGCCACGAAACCATTTCCCTTATATTAGAATCTTTAGATTTATGTGGTTTTAAGTAATCAGAAGTGATGATAAAAATTCAATAATCCAAGAAGGACACACTAGTGGTAGGTTTGCTTTTATGCTTTGATAAAAATTCAATAATCCAAGAAGGACGCACTGGTGGTAGGTTTGCTTTTATGCTTTATCAGGAATTTACCCATATGATTTCATTTTTCTTGAAATATAGATGGGTTTTACTTCCACTTTTTGGTTTTGATCATGCTCACTTGATGTTAGAGTTCTACCACAATTAGACCTAAATTAGGGTGCTTTTTATGCTTTGTTTTATATATTGTTATACAATTTAGAACAAGAATAATGGTTTTCCTTTATTTAACATCTTACAAATTTTCTCTTATTTAAGTTTTCCTTCCATTTCCCTAGTGTCTTCATTTTCTCATTAATTTTTAGACATCATTTATCCCGACAACACTTTGTATTCTATCTAAATGATATTTCTTCGTTTATAGTATTCTATATGAAAAGAATGTTTTTTTATGATAACCATGAACATATTCTGTTAGAATGTCCCGAACTAATATAATTATTGGTAAAGGAATTCCAATTCTATCATAATGGAATCACAAATTCCATTTATGTTAGAATGGAATATTGATATTTTCTCACTAAATTATTCATTGGATTTGTTTTCACAAAAGCTGATGCTTGAAGAACGGACCACGAAATTTGAACGACGCCTCTTACCAACATTATTCTTTTATATTGAATTAGTGTATGTGTTAGATTTTGATGTTTTTTTCTCGATTTGAAAGGTTTTTAGTTTTATTTTTTAACAATAAATGTAATTCTTAGCTAGTGTTACATGTATTCTATAAGAATTAATATAATTTTTGTTTTAATTCTTCAATTGCGGGTTCGAAAAATTGTTATTCTATAAGAATTTTTTAAAGTCGTGATCAAGAAATATGTTCAAGAATATTTTTATTATTTTATGATTCTAGAATATTTTTATTTTTGAACATACTCAAACATATTCTGTCGGAATGTCCGAATTAAAAACCATATATTTAATAAAATCATATTTTTTAAATTAATAAAATCAAAATTTTAAAATTAATAGAATCTATGAAAACTCAAAACTTTTTATTAATTAAACTTGTGTTTCCTAATTAATAAATTTTTGGTAAATTAAGAAAGTCAATGTTACCTATTTATGCATACAATAATACAATAATCACTTTTTTAATTTACCAAAAATAATTGACTCATATTTATACATACAATAACACAATAATTACTTTAAATATATATATATATATATATATATATATATATATATATATATATATATATATATATATATATATATATATCAAATAAGAAAGAAATTTTTTATAGGAAGAACTTTTTTTCTATATAATTTTTTAACGAACAAACAAAATGAATCATTAGATGATTCACAAGAAAAAATTCCCAAAAAAAATCTTCATAATTCATTTTTAAGTAAATTAAGAAAAAATTCACTTTTATAACAATTTTAGTGAATAACAACAAATTCATTGTATAAATTAATCATAGAGATGTTTTTTTTTTGAGAATTTTTTTGTGTATCATGTTATTTTTTATTCATCTAGTGATGCATTTGTTTTGTTCGTAAAAAACATATGTAGAAAAAAAAAACTTCTTACCTTCCTACAAAAAAAATTCTTACCGGATATATATATATATATATATATATATATATATATATATATATATATATATATATATATATATATATATATATATATATATATATATAGAGTTAAGATCAAATAAGAAGGAAATTTTTGGTAGGACGGTATATATATATATATATATATATATATATATATAACTTAACAATTAACTAAACGTATCAATTAAAAACTTAGCAATTAAGTTCTTAACAAATCATTTAGCACTAGAAACGTCTCTTGGTTATGCACTTTCCAATTAAGCATATTAAGACATATCAGTAGATTTTAAAATTTTTAAGGAAAAATCAGAAAATGAGAAGGAGGTTAAAGGTGGCAGACAGTGGCCGGAGGTGGTTCATGGCAGTGGTAGGGGTGATCTGAGGTTATTCACGAAGAGGCTGTAGAAATCGGAGATGACAGCAAGCACGTGGGAGGCGGTTGATGCTAGTAGTGTTCGTAGGCTTGGTTGAAGGAGAACACAAGTGGCAATGGCATCTCTTAGGTAATCGATGGTAAGTGGCAGTAAAGAAAAGAGTCATCGACGGTAAGTGGGGCTGGAGGTTGGTGACGTCAGTGGTTGATATTGATGACGTCAGTGGTTGATATTGGTGACCCTCGAACAAATTCCGCAATGTTAAGGGTTGATTATCAAATGAAATCACCGAAGATGGGGTATACCCAGTTCTAGGAAGACGACGACCTAAATGGCTTATACCTTTAGCGGCGACGTTATTGTAGTCGCCAAAAAATCCAACATACGAGACAAGATTTCAGTCGTTGGATTGATGGATCTAATCAACGATTAGGGTCTTCAACTGAATGCTCACATGGTTTTCCATGTATAACTTTCAACGATGACACCCTTAGTGGCAGTACCACCATTAGTGACAACATGTAGACACAACGTTTACATATTAATGCTAATGGTGTTGATGCCACTAAAGGTGTCGTCGTAAATGCTAACATTTCTTGTAGTATCCCTCATATTTCTAAACTTTCGTGTTAACCCTTGTAATAATTATAATCAGATTTTTCTTAATAACTTTTATTCGTTAACTTTAAAAAATTATTTTATTATGTGCTTATATATATATATATATATATATATATATATATATATATATATATATATATATATGTGTGTGTGTGTGTGTGCGCGCGCGCGCGTACGCGCGCGTTTGTGTACGCAAATCGGAGGTGATCAATTTTTCGACGAAAATTTAGAACTTTCGTTATTTAATTTTAAAAAAATATATTTGCTATTTTATGTACATGTTGGTACGAAATCGAGTTTGTCTACGTATCTAGGTAATTTTTTTATGTTTCCGTGTTTATTTTTATCCACGTTTTCTACGTGTGATTCAAGTCATATATAATATGTTTTTGATTATTTGAAAATCCATTTGTTAACTTAAAAAATTAGTTAGTTTTATGTAGGTGTTGTATATAATACACTTTTAATTATTTTTGTTTGGCATGATTTTGTCTTCTCATTTTTATGGTTTTACGACTTAAATTTTCTTAACTTTCTATTCAATTCTTTTGGAATGGCTTTGTCTTCCTTGCAATTTAAGTTGTCAACTAAAAGAATAAAAGTTAATTTTTATTAATTTATGTTTAAGAAAATAATAAACGACAATTGTTTTATTATTTCTGTTTGGAAAAAACATATAAAGGAAGTATATTTCATATAAAACTTTATTATTATATAACTATAACATGTTAAAATTGCTGTTCAAAAAGTTGATTAATAAAAATATTATTATAATTAATATTATATATATTATACTAATAATAATTATAAAAAAAAAAAAAAAAAAAAAAAAAAAGGATGAGATAGCATAGATGTTAAGGACGGATATGTAATTATGTATAGTAAATTCGTCATACCCGAAGTAACTTTGTGAGCCTATTTATGGGATCAACTAGCATATACCGCAATTACAAAATTAAACTTATCTCTCACTCTCTCCTAATTTCCTCCCCATGGCTATCGGTATCCTTAAATACTCGACAATTTTCTATTTATTTTTTATTCTCATGATGCCACTTCTAATAATTCTTCTATACAGACAATATCGAAACCAGAGAAGTGGTATTCCTACAAATTGGCCAATTCTTGGTATGACTCCAAGTATGCTTATAAACATCCACCGAATCCATGATTATGCCACCGAATTGTTGCTACACAGCGGTGGTACCTTCAAGGGGAAAGGCCCTTGGTTTGCCAACATGAACCCTCTCTTAATCACCAATCCTTTAGACGTCCACCATGTTCTAACCAAAAACTTCAGTAATTATCCCAGAGGCGACACATTTCGCAACATCTTTAGATTCCTGGGAGATGGACTCATCACTTCTGATGGCAAGTTATGGGAGATCAACCACAAGGTCACCATTTCCGCACTAAAGCATGCCAGTTTTCAGGATATGTTAGAAACAGTTATCTGGAATAAAGTGGCAAACGGGCTTCTACCGATACTTGAATCCATTTCTGAACATCATACCGAGGTGGATTTGCAAGATATATTTCAGAGGTTCACTTTCGACACCATGTCCAAGGTACTACTTGATAACGACCCCGAATGCTTGTCTCTTGGTTTTCCTTACAACCCATGTCTGAAAGCCTTCACAAAAGGTGAAGAAGCTTTAATTCGAAGGGCTGTTACACCCCAAAGCCTTTGGAAACTGCAACAACTTCTGAGGGTGGGGAAAGAAAGTAAGGGTAACAGCGCAGGTTATACTCTTAATAATTTTGTATACAAGTGCATAGCTCAAAATCAAAATGATTTCGATAACATGATCAATGGCGAACAACAAGAAGGAAAATTCAAATTTTTTACAGCTCTCATGAGAGCGTTAAAAGATATTCAGAGTGACACATCGTTGCATCCCACAAAATTTATAAGGGACGTATTAATCACTCTGATGACTGCAGGAAAAGACAGCACTGTCAGCGCTCTCTCTTGGTTCTTTTATAATCTTGCGAGAAACCCAACTGTAGAAGGTAAGATTCTTGACGAGATTCACACACATTTTGAGGGAAAAGTGGGCCAAAGATGGAACGCAGAAGAGTTAGGTAAAATGGTTTACCTTCATGGAGCTTTATGTGAATCCTTAAGGCTATTTTCTCCTGTTCCATTTAACTACAAATCTCCATTGCGACCAGATATCCTTCCAAGTGGCCACCAAGTTGATTTAAACACCAAGATTATTATATCTTTCTATAGCATGGGAAGGTTGAAATCAGTATGGGGTGAGGACTGCATGGAGTTTAAGCCAGAAAGGTGGATTTCTCATAAAGGAGGAATCAAACATGAACCATCCTACAAGTTCAGTACATTTAGTTCTGGTCCGAGAACTTGTGTGGGTAAGAAGATGGCTTTAACTCAGCTACAGATAGTGTCTAGCATAATCATTTACCATTACCACATTGAGTTGGTGGAAGGTCATTCTGTGTTACCTGCAGGTTCTATGGTACTTTCGATGAAGCATGGTCTCAAGGTGAAGTTAACTAAAAGAAGTGAAATGAACTAAAATCGGAGTTATAGATCTTAAATGCATGAACTAACATTTCATAATAAAATTTTCGTGCAAGCACATGCATGTTGATGTTACAAGTAATAAAAGATTAATTTTGTTGAATTTTTTTTTGTCCCTAGCATGCATTAAAAAACCATATTGCGATTTATTTAATTATTAATAAAAAAATTAAGTGATTTATATTATAGACACATGGGACCCACGGTACCAACGTCAAGTCACCGTCAATCACCACTAGTTATAACCAGCTAGCCACCGAAAACCTAAAACCAACTCCAAAAAAATCAAACCTAATGCAAACCGGAAAAATCTTATTGAAACTAAATCAATGGTCTAATTTTTTGATACCTTGTATGGTTTTGTTCAATATCCTACTTGAAATGATGAATATATCTTTAAATATTTTTTTTAATGATTTTTTAAATTACTTTAATTAAAAACCAAAAAAAAAAAAAAAAAAGAATTCCACACATCACACCCTTTTTATCCCATCTCATCTACCTTTATCTCCTCTAGAGCACACCCAAAGTGTACTCAAAGGTTTTCCTGTTCGTTGTCACCGCTATTTGTAACATCTTCGCCGCTACCGACTTTAATTTGATATTGTCACCCATTACCCTCCGTTTAAATCTCCGACCATCGTCCCTTCTATTTCGTCGACATTCAATTTCTCTTGTTGGATTGTTAGTGCTCAATGGAATCCTCAAAAAGACCACTTCCTCTCCTCCATCCACCTTCTCCTTATAAAATTTGAACGCTGACCGCCACCGATCTTTAGAATCAAGCACCGTTGTTCCTCCTCTATGATTTAAGAATCCTCTCATTCCTCTTCCGGTGTTTCCCTTTCACCAACTCCAATACATTCCCTCTTTCCTCCGATACGGATGAACAAGATTGATTTATGCAATACACCCACCGATTTTGAAGGTGAGAAATCGATTTTTAGGTTTTTATTTTTTGCAGTCTTGGCGGAGATTTCTTTGAGCGGTTTGGATGGATCTAGGGTTTCATCTCTTGTATATCATATGTAGGACATAAATGTAATCATGTTTTTGTTGATTTTGGGTTCTTTCATTAAAAAATTCATCTTCATTTTTAACGACTGTTCCCGACAAGAATGGTGGCATTGGCTGTGGTTTTCAGCGTTGTTGTTGGTTTTTGGTAGGGATGTTCGTTTGGATGAATCGATTTGATCCGGTATAATAAGGTGAATCTAAATTAATTTCGGTTTTCAAAACGTGAGTCTTAATAGTCCAAAATAAATTCAAATCTGATCCAAACCAATCAAATTACAATTCGGTTGGATCGGTTTTTACAATTCGATTTTCAAGAAGCATGATATTTAAAAATACATATAACATAATATTAATCAATTTTAAAACAAATTGTTTGGTAAGAATTAAAATTATGAACAACTATTAAAAAATTTATTATAATTCAATATTTTATAGATAAAAAACTATTAAAAATTATACATTGAACTATTTTATTGGATAATACTTTCTAATCTATTTAAAAATACAATTTAGCAAATTAATAAATAACTAAAAGATGTATATTTGAAACAAATATATATAAATAAACAAATAATAAACTTCTATTTGTTTTTTGTTTTTTTTTTTTACGATTCAGTTTTAATTTTATTAACCGTAATCAATCCGAAATCCAAAATAATAATTCGGTTTTCCTGGAAACCCATCAAAAAATCTAAAAATCTGAACCAAATAGTCCAATCCAAATTATCCAATTGGATAATTCAATTTTATCCGAATAATTAAGAGTCCTAGTTTTTATGAGACAATGTAGAAAAAGATAATTGTAACGAAGAGAGTACACTAGGAGTGGGGTGGATGGTAATAGTTTTAAAATTTTAACGTTTAAATAGTTCAATTATTATAACAATTAAAAAATAGATAACAAATTATAAGGATATAAAAATAATTTTAAGTGTAAAAAAACTAAAATCATTAAAAAAAATTCAAAATTGCACCGCTATGCACCTTTTTTGGACTAAAACGAATTTTTTTTTTTTTTTTACAATTATAGGGATATTTTTGCAATTTTGTCTTTTTTTTTTTTAATAAATTGTATTTAAACAAAAGTAAAGATAAAAAAAATAAAAATGATAAAAATGTCTTTTTATATGGTATACGACCAATCACACAAGTTTTAAAAACCAAAAATATCATGTTCATAAAAAAATAGCAGATATTGCGTTTGTAACATTTGATAAACTAACAAACCATCTATGTAAGTTTGTCTAGTTTAATTAATCAAGATCTCATTAGGCTGGAGGGAGTGGTGCCACTGAAATCGCACTCCCTCCCCCGCCACATCAGCGCCATATCACTTTTTACTACTCAAGTGTGGTGCCACACTTTTCATTTCTTTTATTTTTTTTGTTTTTTTTAAGTATTTTAATTTAATAAAATTTTTTTTAACTAATTTAATTTAATATACCTTCTATTTTAATTAAAAAAAACATAATTCTTCATTACTTGAAAATTTAAAAAAAAAACAGTACATTGCGTTACCGGAAAAAAAAAAAAAAAAAAAAAAAAAACCCACACACATGACATTTAAATAACCCTAGAAACTTAAAAAACATAAATAAAATAACTAAAGGAAACTACATAAAGTCGTTCTCCGAGAACTCGTCTTCGGGGTCATCCGGTGAATCCAAATTAAGGTTAATGTTTTGAACCCCGTAAATGTGTTCCACCAAGTCATTGCAAAAATTGTGAAATGTTTCAGTGCAACGTATCTCTACTCTCCTGTTTATATACTCTTCGCCACCAATTTCTATTCGTTGTGTCTCTTGTATGATTTCTTTCTCGTCAAACGCACATATCGCTCTTCCTTCGTCTTCAATAATCATGTTATGCAATATAATACATGTATACATGATTTCTTGAAGTTTTTCCTCGCCCAAATAAGCTGCTGGTTTTTCAATATGAACCACCGTTTCTTCAGAGCTCCAAAAGCACGCTCAACATCCTTCCTAGCTCTTTCTTGAGCTCTCTTGAATTTCTTTCGTCTAGAACCATGTGGAGCTGAAAACGATTTAACAAACACAGCATACTCAGGATAGATTCCATCGACCAGATAATAATCATACTTATATGACGTTCCACGCACTTGAAAAGAAGAATCTGGTGCGGATTCATCGTATATGTTGTTAAATATTGGTGAACGGTTAAGAACGTTGATGTCGTTAATCGAACCAGGAGAACCAAAAAAAAGCATGCCAAATCCACATATCTTGTGATGCAACTGCTTCAAGTATGACCGTTGGGTGACCATGATCACCTCGGGTAAATTGCCCAAGATATGCTGTAGGGTAATTTTCCCATGCCCAATGGAGACAATCTAAGCTTCCTAACATTTCAGGAAACCCATGCACACTAGCATGATGAGCTTGCAATTGCAGGATGTCATTACGTGTAGGCTTACGTAAATACTTTGGACCATAAAACTGAATGACAGTTTTGCAGAAAAAATGGAGACTGTCTCGTGCTATCCTAGCAGACATCCTAAAACTTTCGTCTAACGCATCAGGCAGAATGCCATATGCTAACTGACGAACTGCGGCCATGCATTTTTGTAACGGAGTGAAACCGGGTGTACCTCTAGCATCGTAGCGTTGTTGGAAAAAACTGCACTCCCTCGTTACATCTTCAACTATACGTTCGAATAAACCTTTGAGCATTCTGAAGCACCTACAAAAATAATACCCTTGGTAAGTGGCATTCTCTGCAAAATAGTCTTGCACCAAACGTTGGTTGGCTTCTTCACGATTTCTGTAAATGTATCTTCGTGTTCTCTGTTGAGAATTTGCAGTTGCTTTGTTACATACAACGTTGCATGTTTGTTCCGCCATTTGAACACACGCAATAGCGGTATCAAAAATAGTCTGAAATTCTTTAGAATATGATATTTTTGGGAGAGTAGTTATTTTAAAAAAAAAAATTTGAGAGATAAAGGAGATTGTGTTGTGAAAAAAAAAAGTTAAGTTGATATGTGTATATATAAGAAAGAAAAAGCAAAAAATAAAATAAAAAAATAAAAAAAAATAAACGAATCTTGCATTTCAACGGTCAAAAAGTGAACACTCAATCAAATTTCACGGTCTTCAAAGGCCGCACCGCAGTCTTAGCCGCAGGAAACCGCACCCTGGGGGCGGTGTTCCATTCTTAGTTGGCAGCGAACCGCGGTCTCAGACCGCACCACACCGTGTAGCCTTAGGGGATAAGATTGTTTTTTAAACTTCAAAAATATTTTTTTGTAAAAGTATTTATTGACTTATAGTGGTAAGAAAATAATTTTTTTAAAAATATTTTGATTAATTTTCATGCATGTTGGAAAAAAGCTTTATGTTTGTGAAATGCAAAATAAAATTAAAATTAAAAAGGAAAAAGGAAAAAATAAAAATATAAAGGGGCATGAAAAGAAAGGAGAAAAAAAACTAAGGGTGAGACTTGAGAGATAGTATTGTTATTTGGAGTTTTAAAAAATCAAAAATACTAAGAAAGTTTAAAAAAATAATTTTGAAAAACATTTATACAATAGCCAAACATTTTTTTATTGACTTAAAAAAAAAACAATTAATTATATTATATACATATATTAAAACCAACACATCTGAGAACAGTAAACTTCCAACGTTTCAGAATTTCGCCATATCACTTTGAACAAAATTATTGTTTCGTCCTTCTAGTTTGCAACATCTTAATAACGTAATGACAAAAGCATCGACATCAGTTTGTAACCATCCACCTCACTTTGTAAATTCCTCCGCCCGTTTCTTCTTCATCCATCTCCGACTATCTTCCTTTCTTCTTCATTTGTCTCCTACTGTTCCTTTGATTCTCCCGACGACTTCATCCAAAAATATAGGATTTCGATTTCTCTCACCAAAAACGTATGCGCTCTATTGCCGCCACCAAACGCCTGCAACCAAGTGCATTTAATCTGAGGAATTTCGGTATGTTGTTGGTTGTTTCAGTTTTCTTATGATTTTCATTCAATTTATCTTCTTTCTAATCCTGTTGTGTTTTTGACCAATTTCTTTGACTTTTTGGGTTTGACGATCGACGATTTGCCATCTAAGAAATCAGGATTTTGATTTTTGTCGCCAACCACCTTTACGCTCAATTACCGCCACCAAACATCAACCAAAAATCACCTTTGCTCTGTTATTGTTTAGAATTTCGGCATATCATATGTTTTTGCAACAACTTTGAACTTTATCCTTCTTCCTTTTCGACTTCCTGCATTTGATGCTTACGAATTCTTTTCCTCCAGGAATTTAGGGCTTCAATTACACTTCTTCTCTTCTTCTCTTTCACCATCTGTGTAGGAAACTCTATAAAGAGAGACTTATCAGACTTAATTTCAAATTCGTACTGTATCACGTAAGTCTGTTTCTCAAATGTGAAGCAATTTCTGCATATTCACATGAATGCCTAATTTCCAATATCATTTTACATAATTACAAAACCGTTGCAGTTCTTTGCAAATATCAACCAAATTTAAATTCTTAGAATCAAGTAATCCACTTATTATCTATTTGAGTAATTTACACGAATGGTCCCTATGGTCTAGGGTAAATTGCATGTTTGGTCCCTAACTTATTTTTTTAACTCGAAAGGTCCCTACTATTTGTTTTTGTTATGCGCTTGGTCCCTACTATTTGTTTTTGTTACGCGCTTGGTCCATGTCTTACCTAAGAAAGCTATTATTTAAATAGGAAAAAAATGGTGGGGTAGGTAAGGTAAGGTGAAAAGGATGAGGTCGGGGTGTGTTTATTTAAATAAATTAAAAAATCAAGGGATAAATATCTTTTTAGGTAAGAAATGGACCAATCGCGTAACAAAAAAAAACAATAGGGACCTTCCGAGTTAAAACAATAAGTTAGGAACCAAACATGCAAATTATCCTAAACCACAGGGACCATTCGTGTAATTTACTCTATCTATTTTTCTTTCATTTTTCTTGTGATTATGTAATGTAATTGATAATTTAACTGTTTTCCTTTATGCAGACAAGGTGTCTGTTGGTTTGTTTGTATGAATGAGGAACTAATTTTGTTTTTTTGTTTCATAACCAATAAGTGGTTGTGGATATAATATGTATGGTGAATAATACAAAGATAACAAACATGGCGTTATTTGGCTGATGTTTCTGAAACTTTATTTAGAACGCTTCTCCTGTGACCAATTAGATTGTGAATTCCATGCTAGATAGTTTTTTTTTTCCAAATGGTAGGTGTTGGTTTTTTATTTTTTTAAAGTCAATTGTTGCCATTATTTTTGTTTTATATTGATTAAATATTATTATTTTCTTCTTTCAGCAATTGAAACCATAAGGAATAGTTAACCCATCATCTTTGACTCGCCAACCTATTTCTTCACGAGCACTTCTTCTTGCTACTAACACTTCAAGTAACATTGATTAATCTGTTTCTTGAATCTTGATAATGTTTCATTTTAAGCATAGTTGAAGATTAAATTTGAAATCGCAGATTCTGAGCATACCTTAAGGAGAGCAAGGCTTTTTGGGGTGTTAGAAAAGGTAGATTTTTTTTTCCACAATTCCCATGCACATGTGTAAGAGCATGCACAAATTGACAAAGTCTATAAGATTGTGTTAGTTGACGAAAACAAAATCTATAAGACTACGCCACCTCTACACTGCCATACTCTAATATTTGTTCATCTCTTGATATATGGAAGCAAGGATGAACCCTGTTTTTTTTTTCTTCCTTATTGAAAAGAGATCCCTTTTGGGTCTTTTTCTTTTCCTCATGTTGTGTATAATTTATCTGAATGAATTTTTATTTGATGGATTCGGCAACCACATATTGATGTATAAGGTGTGTTGAAGTTCGAACTTGATGTTGATGTACCCTTCAACAAACATAAATAAATTGTAATCGCCAGTTTGAAGGTCGAATTTAAGGTAAACCAATTAATTTTTTTTCACCCATCACCTTATTTGCTTTTGTTTATGACTGGAATAATCTTGACTCATTCCAATTCCTTTGAATCCTATTCCTTCAAAAAAAAAAAAAAAAAAAAAAAAAAAAAAAACTATTAGTTGGTTATATTGATTCCAGTGGAGATGATGGAAATTGAAATCATTGATTCAGACCCTTTTTTTCTTATTATTAATGGTAAAAAAAACTCAACAAATTAAGCAACTTATTATTGTAGTCTCTAAATGTAAGATTTTGAGAAAGGAAACCTAGATATGAAACTATTTGATCTTTTCAGAACATACATAGACTTAAACTGTACTCCTTTTGTTGTATCACTTTTCGTCCATACTACAGACTACATTCAACACATTATCTTTATTAACACTAATTTGTAAATATTTAGTAACACTATGTCATCTTGGAATGAACATATACAAAACAGTTGTCATCTTTTGTTGTATATATGAATTTGTTTGATATCAAGTAATACTTACTTTTCAATATGTTGTTTTTAGTTTGTTTATTGTTCATGAGCTTTATAAAATAACCATTATGGTTGGTGGAAGCAATTATCATATATTTAGTAACAAAAAGATAATTGAATGCATTTACCATTTACAAAATAATGGCAAAAAATAAACAATTAACGTGATCCGTGGTTCCCCAAAGGTTAACACTAGTTATTATTAACTGACAATAATATTATATAAGTTTGTATAATAAATTATAAAACATTATGAATAAATTTTTTTAAAATGATAAACTCAGATCTCCTTGTAAATCTATATTTTATTACAAGAACGGAACTTGTGTCATTAACTGTCATTAACTTTTGGACCACGAAACCTTTCCATCAACTAGTACAAAAAAATTAATAATAAGCGTGAACATATTTAAATAAAATGAGCACATATGAATACTTATAAAATGTACGTCCTTATACTAAGATATATAAATAATTTTCAGAAAAACCATATTAAAATGTTAATTTTGAAAAAAAAAAAATCTCAATGTAAAATCTTATTTGGAACTGAAAAATAAAAAACATGTGAAAACTAACAAATTAGATCTATGATTTATGTGTGAGTAACTCTCAAATATCATCATGAATAGCTAATGATGAAAATTAGATTGATGTGTAATAGGTGTAAAACAAATAACATTTTGAAAAACGTTTATACATTGAACTCAAACTCCTGCTCAAAATCGGCTTTGGCATTCAAGGTACAAACATTTTCGCATCTATGGACCAATGCGAGGAATGGGAAGGGAAGGAAGCTTAGATGGCTCGAGTGGCGTTGTGACCCAATCTTGAGTGCTACAGCAGGATGTAGTTAGCTTCTTTTAGTTTCCATTTTCATTCTCATTGTCCTTTTCTGTTTATTTCCAATTGTCTCTTTTTTGATGTAGTGTTGTTTTCTTCGGGATAATTTGTACCTCTTATCTCCTAGCTAGCTTTTTTTTCTTAATATATATGCCTGCTGTTCTAAAAAAAAAAATTAGCCAAATATTTTTTTATTTACTTAAAAAAAACAATAAATAAATAAGCTACTTTACAGAAACAATAAACGAAAATCAACACCAATCCCAATTCCCAAATGTGAAATCAAATTCCCCTTGATCTTGCGTTGAATATTAACCCTAATTTATGTCCTTAGAGGCTTTCAGCACCACAGACTCTCATTAGATTTCTCGTCGCCGCTTCATTTCAGTCAAAACCCCCAGAAAACACTTTTGTCTTTTAATCAACTCTACGTCTCTACCCCTCAAAACCTTACTTTCGGCAAAAACCCTCTCATCCCCATCGTCTTTTTCTTTGCAATTGGGCTATTCAGTTTGGTCATTCCAGATAGAGGCGTTGTTAATTTGTTATTACACTTTCGATGGATGATTCTTATGATTGTCGGAACATCCGGAATATATGCATTCTTGCTCATGTTGATCATGGAAAGACTACTCTTGCTGATCACCTGATTGCCTCATCTGGAGGTGGGGTTCTCCATCCCAAACAAGCTGGCCGCCTTCGGTTTATGGATTATCTAGACGAAGAACAAAGGCGGGCGATAACCATGAAGAGTTCCTCAATTGGTCTTCAATATAAGGGCTATGCGATAAACCTTATTGATTCACCTGGCCATATGGACTTTTGTAGTGAAGTTTCTACTGCTTCACGTTTGAGCGATGGCGGTTTGGTTTTGGTAGATGCCGTTGAAGGAGTTCACATTCAGACACATGCTGTTTTGCGCCAGGCATGGATCGAAAAACTTACACCCTGTTTGGTTTTGAATAAGATTGATAGATTGATTGTTGAGCTGAAGTTGAGTCCCTTGGAGGCTTATAATCGTCTCCAAAGAATCGTTCATGAAGTTAACAGCATAGTTAGTACTTACAAATCTGAAAAGTACTTATCAGATGTCGATTCAATTCTTGCTGGGCCTGCTGGTGAGGTAAGTGATGAAAACCAGGAGTTCATAGAGGATGATGAAGAAGACACGTTTCAACCTCAAAAGGGAAATGTTGTGTTTGCTTGTGCATTGGATGGGTGGGGGTTTAGCATTTGTGAATTCGCAGAGTTTTATGCTTCTAAACTCGGTGCTAGTTCTTCCATTTTGCAAAAGGCTTTATGGGGTCCTAAATACTTCATTCCAAAAACAAAGATGATTGTGGGTAAGAAGGGACTGTCTTCTGGAAGTAAAGCTCGCCCTATGTTTGTGCAGTTTGTGCTCGAGCCACTATGGCAAGTCTATGAAGCAGCCTTGGATACAAATGGGGATAAAGGGATACTTGAGAAGCTAATCAAATCGTTTCATTTATCTATACCTCCTCGTGAACTGCAGCACAAAGATCCTAAATATGTTCTTCAATCTGTTATGAGCAGGTGGCTTCCTTTGGCTGATGCTATTTTATCAATGGTGGTTAAACATATGCCAGACCCCATTTCTGCACAGTCCTTTCGTGTCTCCCGCCTCCTCCCTAAAAGAGAAATCTTGGATAATTCTGTTGGTGATTCTGAAGTGGTTGCAGAGGCTGAACTCGTGAGGAAATCAGTTGAGGCTTGCGATTCACAACCTGATTCTCCTTGTGTTGCTTTTGTATCTAAAATGTTTGCAGTTCCTATGAAGATGTTACCTCAGAGAGACGTAAATGGTGATCTCTTGAGTAATTATACAGAAGAAAGTGGAAGTGGAGACTCTGATGAGTGCTTCCTGGCATTTGCCAGGATCTTTAGTGGGGTTCTTCATTCAGGTCAGAAGGTTTTCGTGCTATCAGCTTTGTATGATCCACTTAAAGGTGCAGATTCAATGCAGAAGCATATTCAAGAAGCTGAGTTGCATTCACTGTATCTGATGATGGGTCAAGGCTTAATACCAGTGGCATCTGCTAGAGCAGGGAATGTGATTGCCATTAGAGGCTTAGGTCAACATATATTAAAAAGTGCTACTCTTTCATCAACAAAGAACTGTTGGCCTTTTTCAAGTATGACATTCCAGGTTTCACCTACTCTAAAAGTTGCAATCGAGCCTTCTGATCCTGCTGACATGGCTGCACTTATGAAAGGGCTTAGGCTTTTAAACCGTGCAGACCCTTTTGTAGAGGTGAGTGTGTCTGCTAGAGGAGAACATGTCCTTGCTGCTGCAGGTGAAGTTCATCTTGAAAGATGCATTAAAGATTTGAAAGAGAGGTTCGCAAAGGTAAATCTTGAAATTTCACCTCCTCTTGTGTCTTTTAGAGAAACCATTGAAGGGGAATCTGTAAACCCTTTTGAGAAACTAAAATCTTTAAGTGGGAGTTCTAATTTTATTGAAAGAAGCACACCGAATGGGAGGTGTACAGTTCGTGTCCACATTTTGAAACTTCCGGATGCACTTACTAAGTTATTAGATGAAAGTTCAGACCTTCTAGAAGCTATCATAGCAGGTAAAGCAATACAGGTGAAAACAATGGGAGGTCAAGATGATGATCATCCAGTTGAAGCACTTAGGAAACGCATTTGGGATACAATAGAGAGTGAAGTTTCAGATGAAAAAATTAAAACTTTATGGGAGAATCTTTTAAAAAGAATCTGGGCATTAGGGCCAAGACAAGTGGGTCCCAACATGCTGCTTCTTCCAGATTCAACCACAAAAGAAACAGGTTCTTCTGTTCTGATAAGAAGCTCTCCTTATGTATCTGAAAGATTAGGGTTCACAGAGGTTTCCAATTTTGATGAAGTTGAAATCGAGAACAAATCACTGATTGAGGAAGCAAAGAGTCTGAGAAGCAGTGTGTTATCCGGGTTCCAAGTAGCCACTGCAGCGGGCCCACTGTGTGATGAACCCATGTGGGGTTTAGCATTCATGATAGAAGCTTCAATTCTCCCATTTGAAAGTGAAACCGAAGCCATTCATCAGCAATCTCAATCAGATCAATACGGGGTGTTTTCAGGGCAAGTTATGACTGCTGTAAAAGAAGCTTGTAAAGCAGCTTTACTTCAGAAAAACCCTAGAATCGTTGAAGGGATGTATTTCTGTGAATTAAACACACCAACAGAGTATTTGGGACCAATGTATGCTGTTCTTGCACGTAGGCGTGCTAGAATCTTGAAGGAGGAAATGCAGGAAGGATCTCCATTGTTTACAGTTCATGCTTACGTTCCAGTTGCAGAGAGTTTTGGTTTTGCTGATGAGTTGAGAAGATGGACTTCTGGTGCTTCGAGTGCTCTTCTTGTTCTTAGCCATTGGGAAGCAGTTCCTGAAGATCCCTTTTTTGTACCCAAAACAGAAGAAGAAAAAGAAGAATTTGGAGATGGGTCAAGTGTTTTACAGAATACTGCAAGAAAGTTGATTGATGGTGTTAGGAGGCGTAAAGGGTTACCCGTTGAGGAAAAAGTTGTTCAATATGCTACAAAACAGAGAACTTTGGCTCGTAAAGTTTAGAAAATTTTGATTTGGTTTTTTTCATTAGATTTGTAATATCAAAAACAGAGATTACATTACGATAAATGATGGCATCTTATATTCAGTTGGTTCTTGTTCTTATGAAATTAATGTTTTTTGGCTCAACCCATTAAGTCATTCTGTCCAAGTTAAGTAAAAAAGAAACAGCATTGTATTGTTGTCCAGATTAAGTGTTTAACCCATTAAGCTTGGTAGTATTAAAAAAAAAGGCATTAGATTATAATATAATTAATGGTATCTTTTATTCTCTAACACATAATACATACTCTACATCATATAAAAAAATACATTTTGAATTATTACAATGATTTATATAGCATCTTATTTATCTGCCAAGGCTGAGGGATCTCGAGTGTTCAAGTTCATCAGATGGGTCCCAATCTTCAGAAGACGACAAGATCTTTGACAGAACCACAAACACCTCCGCCACATATGGGCGGTCGTTTAAATCAGCCGCCACACATTTGCTAGCAACCTCCGCCATGGAATACGCCAACTCCAATGGATACTCACCCTTCAAATCATCATCCATAAATGCCACCAGTTTTTCCCTCACATTTTCACCTCCAACCACCTCCTTTATCATCTCCGACAGCTGTGCCTGCTTTACAACCACCGCATCCTTGTCTTCTTCCTTCTCAGGTGCTCTGGTGGTAGTGGTGGCTTCTTTTCCGGACAAGAGCTCTGAAATCAAAACTCCCAAAGCAAACACGTCCATTTTAGGAGTGATCAAACCGTTTTCAATGTATTCTGGAGGCATGTAACCGTATGTTCCAACCACGTGTCTTGTCAATTGAAGTTCTCCATCTTCATTGTCATCTACACTTCTTGCAAGACCAAAATTTGTAATCTTTGCTCTCATGTTGCTGTCTAGTAACACGTTGCTGCATTTCAAGTTTTTGTGAATGTATGGTGGAGTGATGAAGTTGTGAAGGTAATTCAATGCATCTGCTATATCGTGTGCGATTTGAACTCTATGTTTCCATCCCAAAACCGAATCGTTTCCGTTCTTTGTGTTCTTCGTGTTTTTCGTGGAGTGAAGCCAGTCACTGAGTGAACCGTTTTCAGCGAATTCATAAACGAGGTATGTGTTGCCTTGATGTAAGCAGAAGCCAGAGAGTCTGATTGTGTTTGAATGATTGATTTGTTTTAGGATATTGATCTCACCGGAGACATCACCTTTCATGATCTTCACTGCTGCAAAATCTCCATTGAAGATCCCTCTGTAAACAGATCCGTTCACTCTGTTTTCTTCCCTGAAATCTCCGGTAGCCTTTTGTAGTTCCTCATATTTGTAAACTGTTAATGATTCAATCGCGAATCGAATTCCTTCTGATGAAACGGACCATGATTTGCTCTCCGACGGGATCATCACTTTAGGAGGAAAGTGTTTGGGTGGAGGGAGACTATGCTGGTTTTGAATCTTCCTCCTCCTAAAGAACCAAACGAGAAATCCAGAAAGGCAAACGATTAGAAGCAAACCAACACCGATTCCAACGCCAACGAAAACCAACTTGCTGGAGGAGCCACCGCCGGGGCTAGGCGCTACTGGGATTACCGGTGGAGCAGGCGGTGTTGCTGGAGTTGCAGAGTTGTTGATTCCGGTGGGTGGTGTTGTCAGAGGAATTAAAATCGGCGTAAACGGGAAGACGATATGAGTAGGCGAGAGCTCGTTTGCGTCTAAAATGCTCTGAATATCAGCAACTCCGAAAGTGTCCGCCATAGACGTATAAGTATCGCCCCATGTAATCAGGTAAGTGAGCAAATACCTAAATCCGGCAGCCCTCTGGCTGGTCGTGGGACAAGCGCATCGGAGAGGAATCGTGATATTATCACCGACTAGCAGATTCCGGTAGTTGTAGGTATTCTGGGAGATCATAGCTTGGCAAGTGGTGAGACCCTCGTAGGTATTATTAGCCAGACTGAAGTAAGTCTCGTTGGTGCTTTGAAGTACATAGCTGGCGTTGTGCTGGTAGAATCCGCCGGAGCAAGAACAGTTACGGATAGGGACGATGACGAGTGTGTTGGCGGGGATGGTATCGGAAGTGGAATTGAAGTTATTGATAGCGGCGATCTCATTAGGGTTGGCGCGAAGGAGAGCGGCAATGGAGGAAGGGGTGTTGTAGATGGGTGGTTGTGACCGGAAAGTGAGGTAAGATTGACAGCCCGGACTGGAGTTGCAGGTGTAGCCGAGGGCCTCCGTAAAGTTTTGCTCGCAGGCGAGTTGTCTGTTGTTTACATACGTCTGTTGTGCTCGGAATCCATGGATGCAGATCAAGAACACTGTCAACAACCACCATAACAGCATTATGGGTTGAACTTGAGACTGGATGATGAATTTTGGGAATTGGGAAAACGATTGGAGTAAATGAGACAACGAAATTGACGATTTCTAAAATGTGAAATAATCAAAGACTTGAAGATTCCACGCGTTTTCAGGTTCCCATTTGACGACGGCGGTCTTGTATTGGAACTTGGAAGTGGTCGAAAAATCAAGCCATTAAAAGTCAACATGTCGTCTTTTTTCCACAGATTAATAATTCAAACATTGAAACTTAAATGTTACAAAATTAACCATTATGATCCTTCAAAACAAAATTAACCATTGGGTTTTTAATTTTAAATTAAGCTATTCTTATATACTGATTTTAATTAAGTTATGTTTTTTATTTTCAAAAGTTAATATGTTGAATCCTATAATTTGGTTGTATAAATATAATTTATTAGATATATAATAGAAAATATAATAAATGCTAGAAAATTTTATATGTTTCCAGAAATGACATCCTGCAACTATTACAACTACAAGGAAGGAGTGCATTAAGTTATGATGGGCTGCAGGCTTTTGAAGTGCCAACATTGGGCTTAGACAAAGTTAGTAGAAAGTGTGCCTAACAATAGCCAAGTTAAAATTGTAATTAGATAAAATTAAAAAAATGGTTCCTGTGGTTTTATTTTACGTAAAATAAGTTTTTTGCGTATTTAAAAAATACGGTTTTGTATAATATGTTATTATGTTGTTATAATCTTATAGTATACTTTTACGTTATGTTAACATCTTTAATTGGTTTCAAGCAAAATTACAAGTATTTTTTTTTACGTAAAACCATTAAGAACATGAAAACTTAACGTAAAAAAATACTTAAATATTCACTTTAAATCAATTAAAGGTGTTAAGATAACGTAAAAGTATATTTTATGATTTTAACGACGTAAAAACGTATTATATGAAAATGTATTTTTTAAATACATAAAAAACATACTTCACGTAAAATAAATATATACAAAAAAAATTACACATTTTTTAGGATTACGTTTTTGTAATATATACGTTTTTGTATAATATGTTATTACGTTATGTTCTTGTGTGGTTTTGATTTTGCTTGTTTTCTGCTTTACTTCTCATAAACTGTTAGGAAGTAAAGCAGAAAACAAGCAAAATCAAAACCACACAAGACATAATATTTATATGGTTCGGTTAAAGTGACCTACGTCAACAGGTAAGATGAGAGTTTTCTTTATTTATGAGCTCTCAAACATATATTACAAGACACTTTCAAATGACTAGCAAACATCCCTATTTATAATGAAGGGATCGAACATAAAACCTAATGGGTCAAGTCCATTGGCATATAGGCCCATAATGGTGTCAACCAATCATAATTCAACATGTAGCAGTTTCTGGAACATTTATCATTGATTTACATTGCATGAGTATCGGCAACACACATGATGGAGCATCATGATCCGTAGTGGACCATCACGATGCAAGAGTGGCATATCAAGATCACCATGGCTCACCAACCATTATGATAACACATCAAACAATAATCTTTGAGCGTGTTCAACTTTTGAGCATCCTTAAACAATCTTGAGCATCATAGAGGACTTCACAACATAAGTATCTCATTAGGGATATCATGGCTCATCAAGGAGCACATGAGGCACAACTTTCACCAAGATGACGCATCTTGTGCAAGTAATGGTGCATCTTCTCCAAGGGTGGCACATCTTCCTCTAAGATGTTGCACCTTCTTCCACATTGGCATTCTTTCTTCACAAATGGCACACCTTCCTTCAATGTGGCACGTATTGGTTCTACATGGCGCACCTAACATCACAAATAGCGTACCTTGACCTAGAGTGGTGCATGTTGCTTCCCAATGGCGCACCTTGTCTACATAGTAGCTACATGCTCATGATGGCACATCATGATCATGAATGGCACATCCTTGTACCAAGGTGCTCCATTCTACTGCTATGTGCACCATAACCCCCTTTTAGAAGATATGTTCCTTTGTCACTTGATCTAATCCTTTGTTATATGATTTATTGCCTTCTCAGATGATCTGTTTCTTTGTCACATGCTCCATGAATCACATGTGCTCCATCGAGTTCCAAGTTCTCCATTGAACTCAAGTACTTCATGTGAATGCTCCAAATAAGTCACATTTAACATAAACAATATGGTTGTGTACTTATACTTATATAAAGTCACACCCCCGGCCGGCGACGAAAACATTGGATAGTGCGAACATGGGGAAATTGGATCGAGACATATATATATATATATATATATATATATATATATATATATATATATATATATATATATATATAACACAAAATTATATCACAAACATTACTTTTATTTACTATAAATTATTTGGGATTACATTCTTTGAAAGTCAAGCATATCCTAAACATTACTAGAAATGATAAACAATCGGAACTAAACTCTAGCAACTTCCTTAAAAACCTCCTCCTCGACATAACTATCCTCCATACTCATATCCCTAAGAATACATGTATTTTTTAAAACGTCAACATAATGTTGGTGAGTGCATTGGTTTTATAGTTTATTTGGGTGTATTAATTTAAGAATTTTTTTTTTCTTTTAGAAAAACTTTTCTTAAAGTATGTTATCAACCCTAGCTTACTATTTTTGCAGGATATCTAACAATCCTATCTTAGTATCTTTTAGTTACTTTCTTTGTAGGATATCCAATTAATCCTAACATATTTTATCTATCATTCTAAGGCGTCCCTAAGGATAGTCTGATCTCTAAGGTGTTTGTAATGTATTATGATGAGCCCTCATAATTGACGTTGTTTGACTAGTGATTTCCCCGCCACGACGCTTCATCAGACGTCGAATAGTGATTAATAAGAAAGATATCTTGTTGGGATTGTAGCTAGCAATCGCAGGTGGGGGTGTCAATCCCTCTGTGTCTATATATATATATATATATATATATATATATATATATATATATATATATATATATATATATATATATATATATATATATATATATAATCTTACGATGCATATATGTATACCCTAATTATGGTTATTTTGAAAATATGATATTTAGCCAAAGTGACGATTATGTACAATGCATATCCCTATATTTGATCAACATTACTTCTAGGTACTATGTTATCCTAGGAAATTAGTCATTATAACATATGTGTAGTATCTCTTTGGGTTTTCCTCACTGTACCTACAGGTCGAAGGCACCAATACCGACCCAACAGAATTGATATTCTGTTATGCATGTTGTTATACATAGTGGTTTGTTAGATCTTTTTAAATGCATGTTGATTGTTATATGATTATATGTTATATGTGCACATATTTGATTGGTGGTTGAGGCTTTTCTGCTTTGTGCACAAGCCAACAGGCCGGGGCATTCCAACCCAATGGTTGAGGGCAAAGGGTATTCCATCTCGAGGATGATTAGATACATAGTATTTTGGAATTCCAACCTGATGGTTGAGGGTCGGGGAAGGGGGGTATTCCAACCTGAAGGTTGACTGGACCCATAGTATGTTAGCATTCCAACCCAATGGTTGAGGGCATGGGGCATTCCAACCCAATGGTTGAGTGGGCCCATAGTATGTTGTTATTATATGTGTGTTGTTGTTGTATTGGTATTTTGGGGGAACTCACTAAGCTATAGGCTTACAGTTTTTGGTTATATTTCAAGTACTTCAGATGATCGCGAAAAGGTGAAGGCTTGATCGAGCACCTCCTTATGTTTTATTTCACGATTTTGGGATATCTCTGATATGAATTTTTATTTTGGAAACCGTTTGTAAACAATGATGATTTTGAATGTTTTAAAAGTATAAAAAATTTCGTGAATTTTATGGGTGTTACAAAAACACACACTAAAATCACATGTTCAAGAATCAGAACTCAATGGCATTTAGAATCGAATATGAAATCATGTGTGTGTTCATCCCCTGAAACTAAATCTGAAAACGCATGTGTTTATATGTTTCATTCCTGAAATTTTTTAGTATGTGTGTCTGTGAGTCTGTATTTTCTTTTTGGAAATTGATTTGAATATGTGTATGTTTTAATTTCTAGAAATTAATTTGTGTGTAGATGTTCATCCCTACACATTTATTAATAACCATATATGTTTTCCTCTGTTTCTTTTTGGAAATTGATTTGAGTATGTGTATATGCGTTTATGTATGTTTTAATTTCTAAAAACTAATTTGTGAGTGGATGTTCATCCCTACACATTTATCAACAACTACATATGTTTTCCCCTATTTGATCAACCACACATCCCATTCAACGATGCTTGAAGTTGGATGTTCTGAAGTTGGATCATGCCCTCTCGGTCTGTCCGCATCTGAACGATGTTCTATAATGGTCGATTCATTCAACGACTGTCATCCATAGCATTTTCGGCATCTGACAAACCAGTGAAGCCTTAGATTCAAAGGTGGGGTGTTTGTGTTTGATCTCTGAAGAAGAACAAAAGTTTGGTTCTTGAAGGTGGGGCTTTTCTGGTAAAGCAAGATTTTAGCATTTATAAATCAAGATTTGTAAATCGAAATTCCATTAGCTCATCGTCGGTTCATCTCCATCGCATCTTCTATTTTTGAAGATTATGTTCCCCACCACTCTTTTTATCTCTCTTTCTAATCTATTCTTCTTGATTTATCCAATAATGTATTTTTTTTTTCTTCAGAAATCGAACCAAGAAACAAAACAAAGGGGAATGGGTTTTAATTTCATATGATTTAAAACCTTCGTTTTCTTGAGGAGATGAATTTTGAAGGTACAAAGAGAATTTGAGAGAGAGAGAGAGGCTCTCTTTTTTAAATTATTAAAATAAATAAATAACTATTAGATTTTAAAAAAAAATGGAAGAAAAATAAAAAATAAATATCCCAAGGGTATTATAGTTATTTCAGTTTACTAAAGAAAAAATTCGTAACGGAACTAATTCAAAAAGACCACGAAACCAAAATAAAAATTTACGTTTAGACTAAACCATAGAAAACATAGCTAACTCTTTCTCTTTCTAGTCTTCAAAAAAGTTACATATCATAGGACCATTTTTATAGTTTTATGTATTACTAGCACTTTTCTCGTCCCATTAAGTAATGACTTATCCCTTGTAATACTACTTGCATGTATAATTGTTATTTATTTTATGTGATAAAATTAACGACTGTAATCAATTAAATTACTAATTAAATAAAAACAAAATGTTAAAACTCTCCACTAAAGTGGGGGAGTACTTGCATCTAATCAATGGGAACGAAAAATAAACATTTTTTATAAGAGCTCTGGATATATTCTCATTTACTTTTAAAACCATGAGAACAATACATCCCACAAGAACTTTGTGGTTAAGTGTGTCGAGACGAGACGAGACGAGAACAATTTCAAAATTGATAATATTGGGAAGTTTCCGTATAAAACGAACAATATTACGACATATGTTTTGGTTTATGTTACATACCAAACAAACTCGATCCCCCAAACCTTGGTTTGCTTGCATGTATTACCGGCTTGCTTGCATGATCATACCTCACAAACCTTGGCTTTCATGCAAACAACCTGAATTGCCCAATCGACGTCTCCATAACAGCTTGCTTCCACAATTCATCCATATCTTTAACCGACCAACCTCGAACCTTCTTCCCACCTTCCGAAAGATTTCTCACAAATCTCCCTTACGTCAGGTGATTGATTGTCATATCTTTTGAAGATTCAATTAATTAATGTGAGTCCTTCTCTGATCCCCCATTACATTTTTTGAACAACACCTTTTCTCGCTTCCCCTGACTTCTTGCTTCTATCGATCGTCACCCATTCTTGATTACTTTTTGTCATCGTCTCTCAACTCACCCCTACAAGGAATCGATCATCAATCAAACGTACTGACGATCTGTGATTAATTTCTGCAATCTCCGGTGTTTGATCCCACAGTTAATTGTATGTGTGAGTGTTATCTTTAACTAAATTGATATGTAAATGATCTTTACGTAGTCTAAATAGTGTGGGAGAGTTGATCGTCATAGAGTATGCAGGTAGAAAAACTGTTTTTGTTCCATCAACATTAATCTCAATTTCTTACTGTTAAAGATCGTGTTCATCTATTTATTAACAAAGTATACACAGATTTAATATTTTACAGAAGAAGGAAAAAGGGGAAAAGAAACAATTCCTCGTTTTTTTACACAAATAAAAGAATCTGAAATTGAGCTAGGGGTTAGCTCATCATGGCCCTGAACTCATTGAAATCCAGTACCCCGTCCCCATTAACATCGAATCTTCCGATCATCGTCTTGCAGTCGTTCAGGGTGGTCGGCTGCCCTAACCGTGTCAACATCTTCTTCAAGCTCTTGGGAGTGATCACACACTCTGCCTTAATTGATGAATTCCCTGAATACATCACAAACGCCTCCCTCAGCTCCCCCTCCTCCCCTTCCTTCATCATCTTCGCAAAATCATCCAACCCTAACATCCCGTCTCCGTCCGCATCCGATAACCTCACCATCATCTCCGCCTCCTCGTCCGATAACTCATGCTCCTCTCCTCCTACCTTCCTCAATCTGTTCTTCAGCTCCTCGGCCGATATCTTTCCGTCTCCGTTCTCGTCAAAGTAATTAAACACCTGGTGAATATCGTCATCGGAACCACCAGGAAGCGGAGCTGAAAAGGGCGCCTCACATGTATCTTTCGGGGATTTCCTGGTGGGGGATACTAATTGCTTGAAGAATCTAGAGAAGGAAGAAACTGGAGAGCTTGTAGCTGAATTTGAATCACCTGAATTCATATCGAAATTACTCGCAAATTATGAGTGTTTGAAGAAATGCTTGTGTCCAATATAGTGGGGATTAGAATCTGAAGGTTACTTATATAAGGCAATAATAGAAAGGTGTGCGTGTGTACTCTGTAGATTGTTTATGGATAAATATGGAAGGGAAGGAAGGAGGTGGCTCAGTGGAAGCTGTGGGCGGTGCGTGGCGGTGATTGTGTGCCGACTAAAACCATTGCCGCGTTCTCCACAAAAAATGGTTTAGACTTATCCTTTTATTAAATAATATTGTTTAAAGTTTTTTCTTTATTCATTTTTTTTTTGTTTAAACGTATGTATTTGTATAAGATATTAAAGTAAATTACAGATTCTGGAACACGTTATATTTTATGTTTCACGTTTATGAAGTATAGAGTCGATTACAGAAATACTTCTAGGAGATTGGGACTTTTAACTTGTTTGTTTTTAATACCTTTTGGACTAATTTCATGTTACATCAAAGATGATTAGATGTTAAATCGGATAACAATATTGTGTTTTTATCTAATACGATACCTTTTTAGATAAACGAACACGACACAAGATGTGATTCTCTGACACAAAAATACCCAACATCGTGAATTTGGATTTAAATTTTATCTTAGTTTCATTTTGGGTCATGTGTATTTGTCATGTCGTTTAATCGGTTGACACTATAATCAAATGTACAATTTTCTAACAAAAAGGTAAATTTCAGATTTCGGCTTTGAGACTAAACATTACGACAATGTATTTTCAAATTTCAAGTTTGAAATTTAAAATAAAACTCAAAGTTGTCTATTTCAAAGACAACTTAGCAAACCCACTAACCAAATTTCTTGACAAGAGATTTGGTTGCAATTGCCAAAAGAGTTATGCGTCTAAAACCACAAATATAATCCTTTAATGATGGAAACCATCCAAATATAATCCTTTAATGATGGAAACCATCCACCTTCACATTAGTGCTTCTAATTGTCAAGGTTAAAGGATAGCAACGAAATCACTAACAATAGACAGTCCTATTAATTATGATATATTCGTGTGAGAGGATATATTCGTGTGAGATAGGATAGTATGTCAGGTGAGTTAATGTTACTAACAAAGTTTTCAAGAAACCACTTCATTTTTTACTGATCTAACAAAAGTTAAAAGAAACATAACTAGAAAATAAATACATACAAAAACTTAAAATGTGTCAAATTGATTGAAAAACAAATGATATTGAACACTTTGAAATTGCTTGTGTAGATATATTTTTTGAAAAGTATTTTGTGCAAATGATAAGGAAGACACCCATTAATTTTTTTTCTAGTTGGTCCGAAATGCTTTATTCCGGACTCCACGACGACAGTGAAATGCCAAAAAAAAAAAGGTCATTTCTGTTAACATCACAAACATATTAGGAAAGAAATTAGATAATCATTTTACATGGTTTACACAATTATAGAGAACAATGTCAAAACAAAATTCAAACTTATGGGCTATCAAATTATACACTACAGATAGGGTTAAGTAATGTTATATACTATTAAAAAAAATTGTTCTAATAAAAGTATTATAAAGTAATTAAGATGTGGCAAATTCAAATTTACAAGACTAGCGATTAGCAAATAATAGTATTGTTGAGAAAATAGTCACACTCCCATTTCATTTGTTTACCACCAGATTACATAGTTACACCATAAAAACAAAGTAAAAAAAAAAAAAAAAAAAAAAAACAACATCATAATAGACAACACCAAGCATCCAATCCATCCATCCATCACTGCTTTTCAAGGACAGGAATCAAGGAGAAGAACAAGAAGATAGCAGTTTAATACATACAGGAATCACAACTATGCAATTCAATTCCCCCCCTCCTCCTCTTCCCTACCATTTGGAATTCCCTCTACTCTCTCTCAAGCTTCTCCCTCTTCTATACTCAACTTCTGCATCAGAATTCGATTGCCCCCTTCCCATATGATATTGATGATGATACTTCCCATTCATTCTTGATCCCCCCATCCTTGAAAATATATCTTCATCATCCGTTAAACTGTGCTCAACATCTAAACATGATTTCATAAATCAGATTACAATGCTGGAATCATGTGCATTGATATAAAGTAGTTACATAGTAGATATCAAAGTGTACTCACCTTTCTGGGATTCCATTTTGCAAGATTTTGGGGTTGGGACGGTTTTGCCCTCGGAGGGCATCATGGAGAAAGAATCATCCATAACATCAGAGATCTCTACATAATGAGCAGTTGACACAACTTCATCAGCACTAAACCCAAATGAAGCTCTATAAGCTTCTAATTCTTCAATATCTTGTTTGCATGCTTTACTCGGTCTGCTTTGAACTCCGGAAACACCGTTTCCGTTGTTGTTTCCGGCGTCTGATTCCTTGGAAACACTCAACCGACCACCGGAATGAGGGAAGGAAGATTGATCCAGATAGAATTGTGCGAATGTTTCAGGGCAGAAGAAATTCGCATCTTGGGGTTTGTTCTCTTGAGAAGGTGTTGAAGGGTTCCATTGAGGGCTGAAATCTCTGTCTGGAAAAGACGATGATAGCCCTTCACCGGATGTTCTTGAGATGGGTGACCGGAGAGTACTCGCCGGACTTCCGGGGTAGAGAGAATATGTTGCTTGGAGGTCATTTGCAGTCATGTAATTTGTTTTATCTCCACGTTTGAGATTCAAAGTAGATGAAAGGAATTGAGCGTAAGGGACATCAGGGGAGGAAGGGGTGGTCAGATGAGCTAGCTCCGGTGGTGGTGTGAGTGGAGCTGTGGATGGTTCAGTGGTGAAGGTGGAGAAGACAGGAGGAGATACAAGTTGTGTCTCATGGGCATATGGTCCGGTGGCAAACATGGTGGATGAAGGACCTCCGGGAGAGTTTGCAGAGAGGAAACAGTTCGGTGATTGGACTGTAGATTGAAGTGCAGAATTTGAGAAGGAAGCCGGAGAAGATGGTGGAGCTAAGAGTGATGGGTGTACTGCGTTGTTTTGATTGGTTAATCCGACAGCTTGAGGTCCGTTTTGCTGGTTTGCTGTTGCATGGGTTTCTGGCATACGAGATGCAGGTACAACACGCTTTCCACCTTTTTGCAACCCGAAACAAGATAAACCAGTTAAACATCCTCCCCATCTCTTTCGCTGCAGATTGAGATCAAACAATTTGTTATTCTTTCACAAAGAGTATGAGTATCAGCATGTGTGGAGTTTGATTTCATGAATTGTAATCATGGTTAGACTGAAATTAAGTAGGTTTAAGAGAAAACGAAGACACCGAGTGTAACAGATTTAGCATCTTGGACATAAGAGGGAAACCTAACACTCGCACAATGTAGATCTGGAAAAGGATCATCAATTGCATAGTTTACTGAACCCCCAAAATTAAAAACAACAGGCGACTAGAGTGTAGAGTAAAGATCACATTATTTACAGATCTGAACAAGTACTTGATGCGTTCTTCCCCAAAACCAGCTAATTCAAGGAAAATTGCACAGCATGAAAATGGGTACGACGCATTACGCAAGAAGTAATTAGATCTAGGGTTTATGAAAATTTACCCGGGAAGACGCTGGTTGTTGTTGTTGGTGCTGTAGAAATCTGGTCTGCTCTGATGCCATTCTGAGCGAATCAATGAATGAATTCCTTTGAAGTTGAACCTCCTGAATTCTTAGGAACAAAGAGGTGCATCCACCTGATTACAGACTGATAAGTTCAGTTGTTGTTACAAGGCTTTTACCCTATTTGACATTCGATCTGTAGAGGTACATCCATGTACATGAGTGTGTGTGTGGGTGTCCGGTTACAAGGTATTAGATATAGTCATGAGTTCTGTAGCAGAAGCTGACAGCTTACAGATTTGGTAAAGAGAGATGAAAGATTTACAACAGTGAAGAAAACCAATATAAAACAGAAAAGAAATGGGAAATTGGGAAATTGGGAAACGGGAAATGGGAATCAAAATGAAAGAAGAAGAAAAAAGGATGTATGTGGATGTGATGGTGCTTTTTTGAAGGTTTGGGGACCCAACCCAATGAGGTGCCTAGGGTTTTGAGAAAAAGGGAATGGTGGATCAATGGAGTAAGTAAAATCAAAAATGGGGATGATCAAAAGATGAAAAGAGAGGATGCCATTGTTAATTGTTATTGGTGCTTTATTGTCTTGATTTTTCCTTTATGATTTTTCCTTTGTTGTGCTTTTTCCTTTGATATACAAGTAGAAAGAAAGAAAGGAGGTGTGTGTGTGAGAGAGAGAGAGAAAGAGAGAGAAAGAAAGGGAAAGATGATAACAGAAGAGAAGAGAACAGGCTTTGGTTTTATTTGGAGGGCCTCAAAAGGAGATCAGACCAACAGGCAACAGGGAACAGTGTATGCGCGTGCCAAATAATCAAAGAGAGAGGCTCTGAGGGTGTATATATGTACGTCTAGTAATTACGTCAAGGGTCAATTATGTAAATTAATTCGACTTTGCAATTGCAATTGCATTTGCATGTGTTTTTTCTTAGAATAATATTTATGACAAGAATTAGATAATTACTAATGATAATAAGACAAAAAGGAAAATAATTGAGTATGAATCTAGTATTTAAGATATTACTTGTTATTTAATCGATTAAAATATAAAATAACCAATAATCTTTTGTGATGGAAATAACTAATAAGAGACATCATATATAAAATAACGAATAATCTTTTGTGATGGAAATAACTAATAAGAGACATCATATATAAAATAACGAATAATCTTTTGTGATGGAAACTAATAAGAGACATCAATGTAATTTGGTTTATCTTGTAAAAATTAATGTTAGTATAGTTGGTTTGATAACTACTGTAATAATTACAACAACTCCCAAATAACATATACTTATTTGAACTATTGGACTAGATGCTATAAATAGAAGCGAAATTCTTTTATATGATCGATGATACACATGGACGTAAAAATAAAAGGACTTGGGTTGATTTTTTATGGTCCGGAAAACACCAATTTGTTTACTATATAGGTCGTGTTTTGTATACCCAACAATTTTATGGGTTTATCGTAAATCCATTTATTTAATTTTGTTATATATATATATATATATATATATATATATATATATATATATATATATATATATATATACCCATCACCACGTTGAGAGCTGCTCGTGTCTCATGTGTTGTCAACTGAAAGACCCTGCTCTTCACCACAAGCGTCTCACCCCGGTCCTGACGGTCGTCTGTAATCCTCAAAGTAGTATGAGTGGGTGCTTCCACCTGCCCTGTTGCTGCTAAACTCGGGCATTGGGACCGCTTGTGTCCTTTCTGATTGCACTAGAAGCAAATCAAGTATGATATTGTCGTGGTAGCGGTAGTAGTTGTACAATCTCTGCTCAAATGTCCAGTTCGGCTGCACTTAAAACTGCCCGAACTACCTGCCCTGCATACCCCATCATGTGTCCTGCCACACTTGTCATAACGGCCTCGACCCTGCTAGCCCTTCCCTCGGAAATCTACCTTGGGCTTCTTGCTCGCACTCCCTGGCTGAACCCCCTCTGGTTTCCTCTACTTCTCTATCTCTAAATCCAACACACACACACACACACACACACACTCTCTCTCTCTCTCACACACACACATAATCATATCTTTCAGCATCTTACAACTGGATCGGCTCACAAATTGGCGGATATCACTCTGCAACATCTCATGATATAGGGTCTTCTTCCTCTCCTCGTCTGCCACGTATTGCGGAACGAAAAGGACCCTCTCCCTGAACATAGCGTTGATCTCTGTCACCGTCTCAGTCGTCTGTTGGAGATCCTGGAACTCCCTAGCAAGCTGTTGCACCTCTATCACAAGTGCAAACTCGGCTCTGAACCTAGCTGAGAAATCGCTCCAGATCATAGTGTTAAGGGCAACGTCACCCACAGCATGCCCAACCTCGTCCCACCAGTCGCGTGTTATGTCCTTTAGAAGACAAGATGCAAGTCGGACCTTGTCCCCCTCGGGACATCTGTTGGTGCGGAATGCTTAGGCAACATCAGCCAACCATCTAGTGCTCGTGATGGGGTCCTAAGTCCTATGGTAATCGGGAGCTCCATAAGCTCTGAACTCTCTGAATGTTAGTGTGTACGACTCCACCATGGTCGCCACCTCGGTGCGGAAGGCACTCAGTCTCTCATCTAAAAGATCCAAAATACCCTCCTTCATCGTGTCGAAGATCACAAGAGTCTAATCTAGAACTTTACATGTGATCTCAAAGGAGATGAACTCCCCCGTCTGGTCATCTAGCTGTCTGGCTCCAGAACCTGAGCATGATCCCTCACCAGCGCATGAATTGCCGACTGGTCTAATACGTACTACTACCATACTGTAAACACATCATAACAAAAATCAGAATACTCATCATATCTCGAGGGATCACATACACTACATGTTTCTTGGATCCATCTCAGTCTTCCTTGATTCGAGTAAGGATCCTCTGCTTTCAGTAGTACGGGCACATACTACCTTCCACATCTATTCGTACTTTCCTCAAGAACTGTCTTGACTTCACCAAGTCCCTTTTACTACTACTGCTTCACGCGCTAATCTCATCCTAGGCTTTCCATAGGGTAATCACCATCCCACTCTCTGTCATCAGCTACATAAGAAGTCCTTGTTATCTCCCCTAATTAGCTCGCGAATACAATTACATATCACTAAGACTAGATAATTCTTCAAATGAGAGATCCTACCCTACAACGATTGGACTTAGACAAGAGCTGCGAAATAGAGCTAGACCTAACCTTCTGAAATTATTTAGTCCTCGCAATATGTAACTTAACATATTCATTTACTAGCTACTAAAAGATAAGTAGAACTCCTAAAAGCACAAAGCAAGCAACATTCGAGCTTTGAGTAACATAATTAAACATATTCTAATCAAGCCATCATATCATTAACTAATCTATACTATCATGTAATTCACAAGGCTAATATACATATTGTTGGGTTATGAGCATTCTAACACTCCTAAGTGTACATGCAACCCTAAATACCTTGGATCTATGTTTTCTCTATTATACATGCAAATATGAACATCCAAGGTATTATCCTAATCTAGCATACAAAACAATGGATATAACAAGATAGAATACATACCTTTTGTTAGTGCTTGTCTTGATGAAGCTTGAGTTCCTAGTGCCCCAAGTGTGACACCTCAAATGGTTCACACAACACCATAAGCACTTGGAATAACTTAGAGAGAATTCTACACTTCATGAAATCGGCTAGCCCTTTCTTACTATCTCTAGTGGCCGATTTTGATCAAGAATAAGATGCTTATATAGTTATATAATTAGGGTAAACCCTAATTGTCATGACTTTCCATTTCCTTGGATCCATGGGTTCAAATACACCATGGAGCATCCATGGAGCATCATATGGGTTTTGGCCCAACTAGATAATCCATGGAGCATTAGCCCACTATATAAGTATGGATGATTTACACAATCAACCCATATATTTAATTAGTCTTCTTTTGATCACTTAATTAATCCTAGATTAATTCTTGATCAATACTAATTAAATAATCTTATTATTCTTATTATTAATATACTAGAACTTATAATATATTAATAACCATAAGTGTCTTATTTCTCTCATTATAGTCTATCCAAGTGCATGATGCCATGCAACCCAAATGGACCATGCCGGGTCGGGTCAAGTCTTACCAATTATAGTTATGGACTTAGACATTAATCCAACAGTCTCCCACTTGGATAAGTCTAAAACTATTATTGCGTATGACTTCAGGAACCAACTGGCAATCGTAGCTCTCAAAAGCTTCTGTCGAACTCTGACCTTGTAGATGAACTCTGACCTTTGTCAATGACTTGTCCATTAGATAAGGGATCATATATTCCTCCATTCTAGATATCATATGGACTGAGACATGGATTATAATCATTCTCTCTGTCCATTTGTTGTTTCCCGATTTCCGATTTATGACGACTGACTAATTGAACAAATCAAATCAGTCCTGGCCCGGCCGAGCACTTCCATTTGTCATCATCAAATCATCGAGGGGCCCACAGATATCGCTTTTATCCCGAAGGTAAAAGGAATGGATAAACTTCGACTCATATGGCTTGTTCTACTACTTGTTGAATCATACACAAAGACACGTTTTATAACACGAGTTACCAATGCGTTTCGTGCAATCAATGTACAACCAACTCATAGTAACAACTCATATCTCTAGGTTTGAAGAATATAAGATATTATCGTCTCATGATCACTCGTGATAAAATCCATGAAGTGATTCCAATGAGCGCGGGTTGAATCCAATACTCAGAACTTATGAGCACTCATGAGTGTTGTAGCCCTTTGTCCAACACCTTAGACCTCTACAAGCCAACCCATGACAGTCTTAATTCATATCTACTTCCAACATATGACCGACTGTGGATGGTTTGAATAACTTAGTCATTCCGGAAGAATAACCTAGTTTATTCGGGAAGTCAAAACATGCAAAGTGAAACACAATAATAATTGAATCCAATATGGTATCAAAACCTATGAACATAAATAAAACACCTTTTATTTATCACCATATGATTACACATTATTCATTGTATACTGTTTCAGCTATCAACTTTATTCTTGAATTTAAAACAATAGTTGTCCCATGCTCCAAGCATGTACACTATGTTTTCTAAACACTAGTCATGCCATACACCAAGTATGCATACTATGTTTGTCTATGATCTTTACTTTGTGAACTAGATCAATTGAACATAACTTCAATGATTCTCTTTTCACACTCCCAAATCCTTACTGCAAATGCAAGAATTCCAAATTCATGCCATTTACTGAAATCTGTTAGATTCTAAACTTATATGCATTGATCCTCTTGTAATGATTATGCACAAAGTCATAAGACTTGAAACAACATTACAGACATTCCAAAGGAGATCAACTCCTTGGAAACATCCTTCTTGCATTAAGTTTCCTTAATCTTACACAGATTGAAATTCTAACTTTGAAACATTTCCAGATTCCATTTTGACTATCACTTCTGAACAAGAGTTGCCTCCTTACAGATTATGTCAATATGGTCCTTCCAGAATTATCACTATACTTCCAACTGTCCTTGAGCAACCAATCTTTGGTAAACCTTAGATTGTCCTCGACAATTGTTTAATCCTTTTAGTCATATCCAGTTCTAAACCTTTTCCCTTCTTAATGCCCCAGGCATTTGGAAACTTTTAGAAAGGATGAATATAGCACATGTAATCGATCCTATATCCGAAGCATATGGGACACGATTCATGAT